ACAGGACTGTCCAATCTTGTTGACTAAGACTTGTGGACTTCATTTCCCAGAATTTCCCAGCCAGCATGTTGAAGTCCATGGCAGTTGCCAAGGTTGGACATTCCTGATTTAAAGGGTTCCCAATAGATTAGATCTATGCCAGACCATAATGAGATTTTGTCACATTTAGTATGGTTTTATGCAGATACACAGTTGTTATTTGTAATCTTTTCCACCTTCCTTGCTTGTAACTCATTAGCAAGGATGGTACCTCCAAAATGGTGTTTCTAATTTAATGTCTAGCAATATTCTAAAATGTGCTTGTCATACACACTTCTCAAAATTGGATTGTACTAGATAATTCAAGGACAATAGCTGGACCAAACGGATCTACCAAGGTGAAATTGTTCTGATGCAATTACAATTTTCAGAGACAAATGTTGTCCCCATTTCCATTCTATTCAAGTGACAATAACACTAACCAACAGCTGCGTGTTGTTTTATTCACTAAATTACAGTTTTTAGATAGCAGCTTAATGAAAATGAAATATTAAACTCCAAATGATGTTATAATATGCATATTTGATAAGCTCTTGCTTTTTATTTGACTGATGCATTTTGTCAGGCAGGCATAAAAAATGTTCTTCTCTTAAATTATATGATAACCATCAACAGAAAACACAAAACAACCGTAACTGATTTAAACCAACATTCTGGTCTGTTAGCGAAGAATCAATGCTGTACAACAAAATGAAGAATATCAGAGTAGCATCCAACAGTGGTCATTTCATGACCTGGAACTTTGAGAATCAGGTTTTACCTGTCCCAATTTTCCTTCTTTCCTTTCCACCCCCAAATATTGATTTTTTCTTGAAAATAGGGAAAAAAGCATGTGATAATATGAAGTCTTGGCAATATTAACTTACAGATACAGATACAGATAATCAGAGTTGGAAGGGACCTTGTAGGTCATCTAGTCCAACCTCCTATCTAAGTGGGAGACCCTACACCATTTCTGACAAATGACAGTCCAATCTCTTCTTGAAAGTCTCAAGTGATGGCGCTCCCACAACTTCCGAGGGCAAGCTGTTCCATTGGTTGATTGTTCTCACTGTCCTTATTTCCAGGTTAAATCTCTCCTTGTTCAGTTTCCATCCATTATTCCTTGTCTGGCCTACAGGCGCTTGACCCCTTCCTCCCTGTGGTAGCCCCTCAAATATTGGAAGACCGGTATCATGTCTCCCCTGGTTCTTCTCTTTACTAGACTAGCCATGCCCAGTTCTGCAACCGTTCATTGTATGTTTTAGCCTCCAGTCCCCTAATCATCCTGGTTGTTCTTCTCTGTACTTTTTCTAGAGTCTCAACATCTTTTTTATAATGTGGTGAACAAAACTGGATGCAGTACTCAAGGTGTGGTCTTACTAAGGCTTTATAGAGTGGTGTTAGTACTTCCCTTGATCTTGACTGTATCCCTCTGTTAATACAATTTAGGATTGCGTTAGCTTTTTTGGCTGCTGTCGCACACTGCTGGCTCATATCTAGCTGGTTGTCCACTAAGACTCCAAGATCCCTCTCACAGTTACTGCTATTGAGCCTGGTTTCACCCAGTCTAAATGTGTACTTTTGGTTTTTCTTGTCTCACTGTAGGACTTCACTTTTCTCGATATTGAATTTCATTTTATTAGATACGGCCCAGTGTTCTAGTCTGTCAAGATCCATCTGGATCTTGAGCCTATCTTCTTGGGTGTTAGCTATTCCTGCCAGCTTAGTATCATCTGCAAATTTGGTAAGTTCCCCTTCTATTCCCTCATCTAAGTCGTTAATGAAGATATTGAAGAGTACTGGGCCTAAGACGGAACCTTGTGGCATCCCACTGCTTACTTTCCTCCATGTAGACTTAGATCCATTTAGGACTACTCATTGAGTATGGTTTGTCAGCCAGTTGTGAATCCATCTAGTGGTGGTGCTATCTATTCCACTTTTTTCTCACTTACTAAGAAGTAGATTGTGGTCTACTTTATTGAATGCCTTGCTGAAATCTAAATATATTATGTCAACAGTATTTTGCTGGTCTACTAATTTAGTCACTTTCTTGAAGAATGAAATAAGATTGGTTTGGCATGATTTGTTTTTAAAACAGATCATGAACTTGAAACTTGAAACAAAGATTTATGAAAAATCAGATATTTCTTAGATAACGTGGCAAGATTATGTATTCCCAAATGATTACAGTTAATTTGATCATATGCTAGAACCTTTGAAAAAGAGACTGTGCTATGAGAAAAGTGTGTGTGTGTGTGTGTGTGAATATGTTATGTTCTTTCGGGTTCAGGTACATAAGCACATGTACAGATTTTCACTTTTACAATGTCATGTCACATATGTTGATAGGTTGAGCTGCTCTGCTACTGGGAACTGTAATGAAAGAGAAGCCAAAAAAAAAAAAAAAAACCACCCCAGTTTGCAGCTCCCTGTTAAATTCTTAGCATTTACTTTAAAATATAAATGTCATACTTTTTGTAAAGAATAGATTTAAATATGGGATGTCCAAACTTTTGATAGCCAGGCCACGGGAAATTGGAAAATACTGACACAAAGTGAGGATGGTTACATCACATGTTCTTCATTGGATGTATTTAAGTGGACAGAATTGGGATTTTGAGGGGGGGCGGGGGGGGGGCGGGCAAATGTGTTTTCCATATTTAAACTGTTATTAAAACTATTATATTTTACTCTAACAAAGGGAAAGGGAACCTCCTGTTTTAAAATGAATCTGGAGCACAGAGGAAAATCAAGGAGCTGTTAAAAGGGAATTGGTGAGCTCATATCATTTGGTGTATAGATTACCGTTTTCTGCTTTGAACTTACATCATAATTGGAGTCTGGCAGAAGACCAAGAAGGCTTGGGGTCTAGGCTTCTAATCTAAGAGCCAAAGGCTTAAAGTGTTTATATTATTAGAAGATAGACTAGTATTGTGCTGTACATCAACAGAAAAGCCTTGTCCAGGAATTTGGATATAGATATACAGTTCATATGCAAAAAAAATGTCTTTTCTTCTAAGCAACCACCTGTTATTTATCTTTTTATATGATCTAGCTCATATTGTGTATAGGTTTTGTAATATTTTGTATGTTTAATATTCTAAACTGCCCAGACTTAATAAAAGGTCAATAAATTTAATAAATAAATCATCTTGATTTTTTTTTAAAAAAATCACCAAATCTTGTGATAATGCTTTCACAGCCTTTGAAGAATTTTATTTTCTCTGTCTAAATCTCTCAAAAAGCTTGACTGGGTGGGCTTTTTCTCAGTGTGTGTTTGGAAAGAGAAATAAAGACAGTTGACTGTCTCCAATCTACATATCACATCCACTTCTCACTTTTTTTAAACAAATGAAAGAGCCTCAAGACGTACAGATCTTACGTTGTAGGGAATGTTTTTGAGCCCTGTAAACATTTTTTTTGTTTCTTATTTCTTTGTGTTGATCAGTTCATTAAACTCTCTGTATAACTGAACTCTCTTGAAATAATAAGGTTTAATTTTATTCATTTGTATACTCTTACTTCTGTAAAGCAACCAGCAACAAATCTTAATTTGCTTTCTCCTCCAAGAGAGCTCTTGGAAGTGGAATGCACATGCCAACACAACTGAGTATTCAACTCATCTCTCTTTGAAAAGAGGCTCAAGTCTAATCTAGTAGACTCTTGTGTCAAACTTGTCTTTAAATTTGGCATCCCCAACAAAGATTTATGTGTCCCAATGATGAATGGGTGGGTATCAAGCTAACATTTATACACAATGGACCAAATGCTTACCATTTTAAGACTGTGGAATGGCAAGGAAATCGAAGTTGTGTAACCTGCTATTTCAACTTACTGATGTGACTACTAATTAACCATCTATCACAGGGGTCTCCAACCTTGGCAACTTTAAGACTTGTGGACTTCAACTCCCAGAAATCTTTAAGACCTGTGGACTTCAAAGTTGGATCAGGAACTCTGGGAGTTGAAGTCCACAGGTCTTAAAGTTGCCAAGGTTGGAGACCCCTGATTATCACACAGTATTGCTAACACACCAGAGACATGACAGTCTGAATTCTGGCAAAAAAAGGGAGAGTTTTTCCAGTGTGTTCTGACCAACAGTTGAGGAAGGGATCTGATATTCCAGAAAATCCAGTGATTCAAGAGATTCCAGTGAAAAAGTTATAATCACAGGGCAGTGGACATGACTGTGGACAAGTCTGGCATTCATCCATATTCCCTGGGGGTGGGGTGGGATTAAAAAACCAAATTGCAAAAAAAAAAAAAAATCCTCTTACTTCTCAAATACTTTTTGATGTTTTTTTAATTTTTTTAAGTTGCAATAGAAAGACACTTTAAGTTCAGTGAACTTTGAACAGTGAGCAGGCTGCTATGCTGTCTGTTCCTCAATACGCTGTCTCTGCCTTAAAATAGGCACAGGGGAATATTTCAAAAATATATTGCTGTGAACTTGAACTTTAGCACAGTTAATGTCCTCTGAAAAAGTCTATCAGCCATGCTATTTTCATCCTATTCTGCCAAAAAAAAAAAAGTCATGCTTTTTTTTTTATTTCCCTATTATAGGGAAGCCTATAGATAAAACTTTTTTTTTTTCCAGATCAAATTTTAAAGTGGCAGAAATTAGATAGGTTTTAGCCACAAATGTCAAAACACAAATCTGAATTAAATCCTGCCCTCTATGAACTTTGAATCCACAATATGAAATCAAATGGGCCTGACTAATATGGATAATCTATAATTATTATCCATATTGGGCCTAAAATAATATTTTCCCAATCTCTTAAATTAAGGCTCTTGGTGTGCAACATAATTTTTATTGCTTGTCCAGAATAAAAACCCACGTTTCGGCATATCCCTCAAAATGGCAACGAAACAAGTCTCAACATTTGCAAAACATTCCTTTATTAATAGAAATAAATTATTTAGTATAAAAATGTGCATGCGTCAACCATTGCATTTATCATTAGCACAACGCAGGGTTTCAATTCAGTCAGCCATCACAAGAAACAAACTTCATCTTCTTATACAAGTTGAACAAGTGTGGAACAGGAATGGAATTTCTCACAATCACAAAAAAGTACTTACAAGTATAACATCAGACATGGTTTTATTTCAACAGAATTTTTTTTTCACAAGCTAACATTTTGTTTTCCTTTTGTGATTCACCTTTTTCATGAGTAAACAGTTCAGACATTTGACAGGGAGTCATAATATATAATTCTGGGCCATTTTTCCCCCCCAACCCACCCATGCCTCCTGCTGTGGTCTCATGGCCAACTTTTGTCCTTTTACAGCTTAGTCTTCAGAGGCTGAGTTGTCATGATGTGATAGTCAACATTGTTCTTCAGTTCACATATTGTGAGTCTTCAGATATGATTGGTTTCACCATTCAGTTTGCATGATTGCTATAGCTGACGTAGGTTGTCTTGGTGGAGGAAGCTGCAAAAGGAAAAACAAATCCAAATCAGCTAATTCAATAAAGGAACTGTAATTTTTAATTACAGTTCTGGAAAGGTGGGGGGGGGGGGCAAAACCTGTATTGAAGCAGCTTAATTGTTCTTAGAAATGATTTGGGCTGATTTGAGATACTGGGACATCCTGAAAAAAAAGTATTTGTAATTAGATATAGCTAATTATATTAATATTAGACATATTAGCTAATTATATTGCATGGGGAAGTTGCCCAAACACAGAATTAAGTCAATCACTGAATAATTAAAAGGGTTTATTTTACATTACTCTTACAGCTACTAGTGATCCTTTGTAAATTTGATAGATTTGCAATGGTGGTGAATATCTGTAGCTCGGGTGGAGGAAGAGGATGGAGGTTCATTCTCTGAGCTTGTGGGTTGGTTTCTGAACATTTCATTATCAGGCTAGGTAACATCATCATCCACTGATAACAAAAACATTTGGAATCCAATCCACAAGCTCAGAGAATGAACCCTCATTTGATAAATTCATTAGCACCATCTTATCCATTCACATGCATGCAATTTTATGATGCAGACATGCTACAAGCAGATTGTTCTTAAACCCAGAGACAGAAACCCCAATCTTTTCCTCAGTGACTCCTCTGTCAACATTACTGTTCTTTTTTCTTCTTCTCCATTTTCTTTTAATCTACTGAAGTAACTGGCCCTGTTAATGGGAATGTGTGAGAAAAAAGTTTTAAAAAAATCCGAAGTAACTCTTGGGATTATATCCTGACTGGTAAGAGTAATAGCTGGAAAGGGACAGACTTTGAATGTGTAGGTCCTGGAGCAAGGAAGATCTTGTTAGAGAGTTCTTGTCTTGAGTGGCTAACAATGAAAAAAAAAGTCTTTAATTGTATTGTAGATTAAAATAATTAAATTGCATTGTAGATTAGATTAAGAGAGTTGATTTGCCAAGGGTATCTTAATTAAGCTGAAATTAGAGCCCAGATGGTACACTCTGGCCCACTGCTCAACATTAATTTTTGCTACTGGATGTTGTTCATTCTGCGTAAGATTAACTCTGGACTAAAAGGAGGCATACATCCTGCTTTGCGGAGAAGATTAAAGTATGCATTCTATCCATCTCTAAAGTACAATCCTGTAATAATTTTAAATAATGAGACATTCATGCAAATAAGTATACAGGTGGTTCTTGTTCAACAACTACTTATTCAGCTACCATTCAAACCTATGACAGTGTTTAATGAGTGATATTTATGATCTATCCGTGAAGTACCCCCACAGTCACATGACTACAATCTGAATAGTCAGCAACAAACCCGGATTTTCAACTGTCGCAGCATCCCAAGATCACATGACCATTATTTGTGAGCTTCCTTGCAGGCTTCTCACAAGCAAAATTGGTCAATGAGGACGCTGACAAGAAGTCAGAAGACGTGATCTCATGAGGTCCTTACTTAATGACTTTAATGATGATAACCAGCATGATAACTACAGACGCTAAGCATTGCGTTTTGCAACCATATTGTTCAGCAATAGAAATTCATGTCCCAGTTACTCTTATTAAGCATGGATTGCCTCTATTGAATTGCATATGTCTTCTGAACCATCATTGCACGTTTCACGGATATTATAGGGGGATTAAAGAAATATGTATGGGAGTATTTCTCCCCAACTGAGAGAGCTCTTATGTAGAGTATGCTTTTATGCAAATATGCTTTTATGATTGAGATTTCAATGCATAACCGAAGAATGGTATAATGGAAGGAATTTTAATCGGTACCCAATCTATGATGATATAGTGCAGCAACAGGACTAGGAAACACAAATTACACCCAACTTTGATTTGAGATAAAAGATAGCTACAACATTTTTCTGTTGGGTTTAAGTCAGAGCTGCATCTGAATCCCAAGCCAAGTTCTTTTATGGGGACGGACCCTTGGGTTGTTGCTTAAAATGTTTATCCTAAATCTGGTTGCTAACCAATTAACCTATTACCTTGTAAGCAATTAACAAAAATAAATAAATAAAAAATAAAACAAAACAAATTAATTTGGCTGAATGCCCAACAGCTTATGCAATAACAATGGTGACACACCTTTTATGTGTTAACAGACTTGCATTAACTATTTAGAGAATATATTCTGTTTCTATGAGAAAAGCAAGGGCCTTGGAGGATGAATCCTACAACCTGCACAACATATCTTTTTATCCGTATCAATGAGCATTGTACAAATGACCATTGCAACGTTAACAAAAGCAATGGGTTATCATCTAACCAAAATTAGTGGTGAAACTCTTGAAAGTCCCAATTTTATCTGTTCTGGTAAACTAATTTGGGGGGGGGGGGGGATTGTTATTTTGATCTCTCTAGTTTGGTTTTAGCTGAGAGCCTCTTCAAGATGTAGATGATTTCTTACTCCTCAGGTCCTGGTTCTGTACCTTTTGCCATTCACTGGGAAACTGAAATGGTGAAGGAGAAGATGTAATCGCAAGTTGCATTAATGCAATCCAATCCTAAATTGCATTAACAGAAGGATACAATCAAGATCAAGTGAGATACTGATACCACCCTTTAAAGTCTTAGTAAGACCTCACCTAGAATACTGCATCCAGTTTTGGTCACCACATTATAAAAAAGATATTGAGACTCTAGAAAAAGTGGAGAGAAGAGCAACCAGGATGATTAGGGGACTGGAGACTAAAACAAGGTTCTTCCAACTCTGATTATCTGTTATCTGAGGAGAGGAGGAAGCATCAATTAAACCCAAGTTCACGGATTGAAAACAATTTTTAATATTATGAAGGAGGGGGGGGGAACCCTGCCATTTGCCAAGTAGGCAAGTTTACTGTTTTCTTTAAATTCTTTCTCTTGGGCAATGAAGCACCTGTGCACTAATCTAATCTATCTCTTGAGTGATCTTTATTGTTTATTATTTTGTTTTCAAATGGAAAAAAGCTGTGTGGTGTGCCATGTAGATACACTTTACAGGTACAGTTATGCTGACGAGATTTTAGACTGCAAAGGCAAAATTGCTAACAATTATGGCAGAAGATTTGTGGTGTTTTTATCCTGTCCTTAGGCGAGATTATAGTGAATCCACTGATGTTGTTTACTTCTTTGCTGGCTTGTTTGTATAGGCAGGCAAGTTTAATTGTGGAAAGGCATTAAAATATTTTAATTACTATAAAAAAAAGTATTCCCTTTATCAAATACCTTGGAGTTGGGTGGTGGATAGTAGTCAGTATACACTTTAACTAAATATTTTAATGGACCACTTTCCAATTCCTTTCTATGGCAGAGCACTTGAAGATGTAATGTTCTGTGACTGCCCTATATTGTCCAGGTGAAAATTTGGTTTTCGGGAGTGACACCCTTTTTAAAGTAAAGTTTTTCTCCCATTTCATGTATACCTGAATAAGCGTACCTTGAATATTCACTATATACCAGTTTAGTTTGTAAGGAAAAATCTAAGGGAACCATATAAACATACATTTTAGTTGCACAATATCAGCAGATCAGATCTACTCAAAGAGATAACATCATCAAAAAGAAAAAGGCTAATGGGTTGGAGGGGTAGAAAAGTCTGTATTAATAACATGAACAAATAAACAATGATTGGGAAAATCTACTTGAATGAAAATATATGCCATTTTACAATGTGACTTTAAAAAGTAATATAGATAAATATGTTGTAACAAATTTTGATGTGGTAGAAGGTCAGAATTTGATCCAATCCCAGAAACATTGCTTTCAATCTATTTTTGAAAAAATATATTTTGAAACTTGCATTGCCATCACTTTCTAGAGTACTGTAACAAAGTAGGACAGAAAATGTTAGAATAATCTGTTTATCCCCATATTATAAGCACTACAATATTAGTAATAAATATGACTAATAATGTACTCCCTGATAAATTTATGCATGAGTTGACCTTGAAAAATAACAACCACAATTCTAATATTGAAGATGATCAGTAGCCAAAAACCACCCCATAGTAAATATTATTAGAGTTTTCCTATTAGGAGATAGGAATACATTATCATGAAAATATCAATATGAATGGAACAGCTAGATAATAGTAGGAAATAGATTTGATGGAACTCAAAACAATGTGCTGGAAAATAACCTGGCAGTTTGGGCCAACAGTATTGATCTTCAAGCTAAAAAATATACAAAACTATAGTGACATTACAAGCCTAAATTTATTTAGTTATTGGTATTTCTATACTGCCTTTCTGCTAAAAATTACCAAGGCAGTGCATAACAATTCAAAGCAAGTGATGAAATTACTAAAACATGAAAAGAAGAAGCCCATCCTTAAAATAACAATAGAGTAACAAGAATGATTCCTATGTATTTCATGGAGTTCATTGTTCCTGCTGCTAAGAAAATGGGAAAAGATTTTACAGCATAGCTGCAATTTAAATGACTAATTGAAAGGAATGTTTTGAATCTTTATTGAAAATCAAATAAATGAGATCCAATGACAACTCAATAGAAACTCTATGGACATCTTTGAAAATGTCACAGGATATCAACTCTGGATTCCCAATAAATGGAGCTAAGGAACTGGTGAGCAGCCCAGTAAAGCTTCAATTTCAGATTTTACTTACCATCCAACTTTGCAGCAAGAAGTATTTAGGTATTCAAGCTGTATATTATATTGTACAGGAGTTCTAACATGTGGCCAATACATCGAATTGAGCCAAGAAAGAACTGGCAACCAGGGCATTTCTTCCAAAATTTAGATAATGAGATTTGTGTATGATTATGTATAATCATACACAAATTAGCAGTCCAACTGTTATAAGTAAAGCTTCCAGATGTTTTCAGCTTTATGTCCCAAAACAGGTTTCTCCAGGGAAATTCTGGATATTTGGGTGCCCTCGAGTCAGTCTTGACTTCTGGTGACCACATGGATACATGCCTAGATATTTAGAGTGGTTTTATTAGTGTCTTTTTGCTTCTTTGTTTCCCCTTTTTTCTACACAAGCAT